GCTGGTGTCTTGAACTCCTGGGCTCAAGCGATCCTCCTGCCTCAGCCTCCCAGAGTGCTAGGACTACAGGTGTGAGCCACTGCGCCTGCCCAGTGCCACTTCTTGAAAGATGGGCAAGAGAAGGGTCTGACCAAGATCCCTCCTTCCCTTCACTCTCATGCTTCTCCAGTTCTACCCAACACTTGAGCTGCTTTCTTGGCCTCTGTCCTTTGTCTAGCATTGAGTTATCTTCCATTCTCCAAAGGCCCATATTGAAAAACAATCAAACACTATCGAACTTTGCCAGGTGACATCCTTACAAAGACTGAGCACATAAAAAAGAGAAAGAAGGAGGGAGGAGGTGTATCATTGGAAGCACAGTGGAATTATGGGCCAAGAATAAAAGAGCCTGGCTGGAAAGCAGGTCTCATGACAAAACAAGAAGCAAAAGGCATGGGTGACTTGAGGAAGAGGATTGGCCCTGGGTCAAGATTGCCCTGTCTCGGTACGTGGTATCTTCCTAGAAGTAATTATTAATAGTAGTAGTGACTTAAATCACTGAAGGTTTATTTATAAACTGGGGAGGGGAAAGGAAGAGCAGAAATAGGGAACTGCAACCTTCTGGAAAAAAAAAAAGATTCCAGTTGGAATCTAAGGGAAACAAGATCTCTTCTGTTTCCACCTCTCAGAAATTCCAGAGTCCATAATAATCCTAAGTGACTCAAAGTCACTCAAAAGAAGCTCAATGATTTGTTTCGAGTAGGAGTTTATGTCCATATGCCCACGCCACCTCTCTTACTAATGACAAGTGGTAGAAGAACCAGATCCAGACTCAGAGACCAAGATACAAATACCAGCTCTTTCATTTCTTAGCTACATGACCTCCTGAGGGTCACTTCACCTCAATGAGGTCATTTTTTTTCAATCATCTAAAATGGTAGTATGCCTGACAACACGCATTCTATATGTTTGGTAGAACCAACACATATTTTCAGCATTAAAAACCCATTATCCATCCTTCCTGGAGGTCTCTAAATTGGTTGCCAACCCAGAAAGCCAGACTAATTCTAGAAATTGGCCCTCCAATTGATTTCGGCAACACTGCAAAGATGCACAGTTGGAAGAGTAGCCTCCTGAAAAAAGAAGAAACCCATTAGCTTGTGGTTTTCAAAAGGGTCTTTAAATGAAAAGTGAAAAGGAGAGGAAACCAAGTTTCCAGAGAAACACTACAATACTTTGTTCTACTTCACCTACTATACTATACACTGAGATTTATTTCAAAATTTAATTTCTAGCAAGAAGCACTCTTGTTGGATGTGTATCCACACTACTCCCTTGGTGACCTCGTTCACTCTCTTAACTCTAAATGCTATACACATGCTAACAGCTTCCACATGTATGTCTGCAGCCTAGGCTTGTCTCCAGACTTCCGGATCTAATTGCCCACAGCCTCCCCGTGGATTCCTACTAGGTATAACAAAATTGAGCCCCAACCCCACTGCTCCTACAGGCTTCCCCATCTCAGTTAATGACAACTCCATTCTTCCAGTTGTTCACGCCAAAGACCTCGGAGTCACCCTTGAATCCTTTCTTCCTCTCACACCCCACATCCAACTCAACTCATCCACAAATCCTGCCGGCTGGACTTCAACATAGACCCAGGATGCATCTCCCACCTGGATTATGGCAACAGCCATAACTTGTCTCCCTGCTTCCATCCTGGCCACACTTACTTCCCTCCACACAGCCACCAGAGTGAGTCTGTTAAAATGCAGGTTGGATTGTGTCCCCTCCACTGCTCAAAACCCTCCAATGGCCCCCAACTCACCCTGAGTGAAAACAAGCACCCTGACAATGGCCCACGAGACCTTCGACAACCTGCCCATCTTCCTCCCACATCCAGCACCACTCTGACCTCCTCTTTTCCATTTCCCTGCTTGCTCACTCCCCTCCTGTCACACTGGCCTCTTGGCTGGTCCCCAAACCCACCAGGGGCTTTTGAACTCGCTGTCCCCCTTGCCTGGACCCTTTTCCCCACCCCCTTCAGCCCCATGGTCCTTCCCCTCACCTCCTTCAGATCTTGCCTCAACTGTCACCTTCTGAGGGAGGCTTTTCTAAGGATCCTATTTAAAACTACAACCCCACCCACCACCCCACATCCCACTTCCTTGCTTTATGACAAAATAATATGGGTTTTACTTAGTTATTATTGTGCCTTTCCCCACTAAAATTTAAGATCCACAAGGAGCAGGGATTTTTGCCTTTCTTGTGTACTGCTGTTAATATATCCCAGGCATTTACACGGCTCTGTCCAACAGAAAGAAAATGGAAGCCACAAATGCAAACCACATACAGAATTTTTTAATTCTCTAGAAACACATTTTAAAATGTAAAAAGAAAAAGGTAAAACTAATTTTAATTATATTGTATTTAACCTGATAAATTCAAAATGTTATCATCTGTAGCATAATATATATTTATACAATCATTTACTATAATATAAAAAGTATCAATGAGACATTTTACTTTTTTTTTCATATTAAGTGTTCAAAATCCGGAATGTATTTTGTGCTCACAGCATACTGTGTCTAGGGGACACCATACAGCACAGTGCAACTCTATGACGCCTGGCAAAAAGTAGGTCCTTATAAATATTCATTGAATCAACGGAATGTTTACCCAGGAAGCGGCAGCTATGATATACTACAGGTTTTTCTAAACTTCGGTTACTCACATTCTCTAGTCACAGTTTTTTTCTGTGACCTATACTACATTTTCCTCAAAATGTCATACTTTTTATACTTGAAAAAATATTTAAACGTAAAACTTTCTATCACTTCTATAAATAGAAACGAATAGGTCTAGAGATTAAAGGCCTGGACTTGAGTCCCTGCTCAGTCATTTACTAGTTCTGGAATTTTGTGTGTGTGTGTGTGTGTGTGTGTGTGTGTGTGTGTTTTGAGACAGAGTCTCACTCCGTTGCCCTGGGTAGAGTGCCATGGCGTCAGCCTAGCTCACAGCAACCTCAAACTCCTGGGCTCAAGCAACACTCCTGCCTCAGTCTCCTGAGTAACTGGGACTACAGGCATGCACCACCACACCCGGCTAATTTTTTCTATTTTTAGTAGAGACGGGGTCTCACTCTTGCTCAGGCTGGTCTCAAACTCCTGACCTCAAGCGATCCTCCAGCCTCAGCCTCCCAAAGTGCTAGGATTACAAGTGTGAGCCACTGCGCCCAGCCTGGAATCTAAAGTAAAGACTTCACCAGGCCTCAACTTCTTCATCTGTGGAATAGGGACAATACTAATCTTCACAAGATCACAGAGAAGATTTAATGATTACAGACAAATTTGAGGTTCGGGGAAAAAAAGATTAAATGAGATGTTAGTATAAGTTCTTTATAAATGGGAAAGAAATCATTAACGGAAAGAGACTGAGAAGTCAATCCAAGCCTTTCTCTTATACGTATCATTTTCATATAGACCAATAACTCAAAATGGCAAGTTTGTAAGACAAGAAAAAAGAGAAGATAGAAGATCTGGGTTCAAATTCCTTGTTTGCCACTTACAGTTGTGTGACCTTTAGAAATTCATTTATTCACCAAACATTTATCAAGTGCCCACAACCTGCCAAGCACTAGGCTAGTATCCAAATAAAACATGAAACCTGCCTTGAAGGATATGCAGTCCAGCAGGAAGAAAGAGACCAGTAAACAAGAAAGAGCAATAAATTGTTTTACAAAATCAAGTCATCTCTCTTAGGTCTGTTTGTTCCTTGTGAAATGGGAATACCACCTTCTCAACCTAACTCACGGGGCTGCTACAAAAATTAACTTTTAAATTGTTTGCCAAATACTCCAAGAGCTTGAACTCACAATACATTAGCAAAGTACTTTTTTTTTTTCCCCTGCTTGTAACCCAAAACGACTCTGGCTCCTGTGAATGTCCCGTTTGAACATTCATTCCAGTTATACTGCATTCTTGCAACTCGTTTCACTTCTGCAAATTTTAGTAAACATTAAGAGAAAGAGGAGGATGAACAGCTTTAACACAGTATTCAATCTCGAAATCATGAACCAGGTCACAGTGCTAAGGAATACAACACACTTAGTCACCCTAACTAGTTACGGTTTGTCAAGATAAAGAGTCACAGGGTAAGGGATGCTGAATAATTTAAATCGAAGAAAGAGGAAAAGTCATAAAGCAGTATAAGGAGACACTCCTCTGTCCAAGATTTCAGCAGTCCCTATGTCGCTGAGGTAATGCTGGGCTAGGTCGCGGTCAACAGTTCAGGCTAAAAAGCTATTTTACAGGCAAAGCAAAGTGCCCACGTTTCTTTTTTTTAAGCCTTGATGATGACCTGATCAGGGAAAGGAATCTCAAAGAAAGACGATCTGAAGGGCTAAGTTCCCAAGAAGTGGCAACCCTACCCAAGCAGGACTAAGTGGGTGCGACGAAAGCAAGACGATCAAGATTCCGTGATCCCTCCTGAAGTTTAAAAACTGAATGGGACGAAATCAGAGTCTCGGGTAGCAATCATTTCAAAAGAGGAAGGAAGGAAGGGACTCTCAGATGTGGTTCAGGCAGCATCTTCTTCCTGAGTTCTCTCTTTCCCCTGCCATACGCCCATTCTCAGGCACCCCCTTCCAGCTCGGTCCCAAGTCGCCCCTTCCTCAGGTCCCGATCCCTCCACAAAGATCACGCTCCTCCATCCCTGGGCACCTAAGCTCCTCTCCCCTTCCGAAGGGACTCGCTCCCGCTGCACCCGAGGCTGCCTGGGCGCCCACCTCGGAGCGGCCCCCGCTCGGCCCGCGACGCGCCCACCCAGCTCGGGCGGGAGCCGGGACACCCCTCCTCGGAGGCCGGAACCGCCGCGCCAGGCCCCTCCCACAGGAAGCCGCCGCCCCCCGGCGCCCGGGCCGCGCC